TGATAAATTCCGATTAGTGACTGATTATGAAATGTATCTGCGAAACAGAATTCATACTCGTAGATTTCATATGACTGTGCTATAATAAGCTATCTATGAATGTATCTGCAATACACACTTTGAACTCATAAATGCCAAGGTATTTGAAATGAATCCCGATTAGGGACTAATTATAATTAATGTATCTGCAAAACAGCGTTTATTGTCATACACTTCGAAAGAAATTGCTATAAGGAACTGATTATAAATGTATCTGTGAAACACAGATTATACTCATAGAGTACGTGAAAAACTGCCAATAGGAACTCATTATGATTGTTCCTGTGAAACACATTTCAAACTGATAAATGCCACGGTAATTCAATGAGAAATTCCAATTAGGAACTGATGATAAGTGTATCTGCAAAACAGAGTTATACTCTAAGTGTTCCTGAGGAATTGCTATTAGGTATTGATTATGAATGTACCAGCAGGATACATTTCAAACTCATAAATGCCACTGTGCTCCAATGAGGAATTCCGATTAGGAATTGATTATGAATGTTCCTGCAAGACAGAGTTTATACTAATAGAGTTCATACGGAATTGATATAAGAAACTCATTCTGAATGTATCTGCAACACACATTTCAAACTCATAAATGCCACGGTATTTCAATAAGAAATTATAATAAGGAACTGATTGTGAATGTATCTGCAAAACAGTTTATACTCAAAAATTCCCATTATAAATGTATCTGCAATACACATTTTCAACTCATGAATGCCACGGTATTTCAATGAGAAATTCCAATCAGGAACTGATTATACATGTATCAGCAGAACAGAGTGCATACTCAAAGACTTCGAAAAGAATTGCTATTAAGAACTGATTATAAATGTATCTGTGAAACACAGCTGATACTCATTGAGTACATAAAGAACTGTCAATAGAAACCCATCATGAATGTACCTGTCAAACACATTTCGAACTGATAAATGCTACGGTGTTCCAATAGGGAATTCCAATTAGGAACTGATGATGATTGCTATAAGGGACTCATTATGAATGTATCTGCAATACACATTCCAAACTCATAAATGCCACGTTAATTCAATGAGAAATTGCAATTAGGGACTGATTTCAAATGTATCTGCAAAACAGAGTTCATACTCATAGAGTTGCTATTAGAAACTCATCATGAATGTATATGCAGAACACATTCCATTCTCATGAATGCCACAGTGTTTCAATGAGGAATTGCCATCAGAATCTGATTATAAATGTATCTGTAAAACATAGTTCATACTCAAAGACTTCGTTGGAAATTGCTATTAGGAACCGGTCATGAATGTACATGCAGAACACATTTCAAAATCATGAATTACGATGTTTTAATAAGGAATTGCCATTTAGAACCGATTATGAATGTATCTGTGAATTACAGTTCATACTCATCGACTCCATTGAGGTTTGCCATTAGGAACTGATTATAAATGTAACTGCAGAATACATTTCGAGCTTATAAATTACTGTTTCACTATCCAACTTGACTCTGATATATTCTCATATGTGAATAACCAGGAATTACTAGTAGGAACTGATTATGAATATATCTGCGAAAAACAGTTCATACTTATAAGGAAAAGGGAGAGAATCGCCATCAGAAACTGATTATATATGTATCTGCAAAATACATAGGATTATACGGAATTACTGTTTCACTATCCAACTTCATTCTCATTAATTCTCATATATTTTTTTTTATAAGTTTCTATGAGACATTTTTGGCAGGGATTGGATCTATCAAGTGTAGTGGGACACATATTATTATTATTATCAAACAAACACACTCCAAGACTCTGAAATGCATCAATCATGTTGATAATGTTACTATAGACTGGAAAGAGTGAATGATAGATGAATAGAATCATACGATTACATACATATTCATCAGGAGTTTAGGAGTATTAGATGAGGATTGAGAGAAAAATAGTTGAAATCAAGAAACATGCAATATATTTGATCCTTGGATTTTTTCCCGAGTATCATGGAATTCTTCTGGATTTCTAATTGAGCTCAATCAGCTATAATATGCTATCAATAACGCTGCTCTTGCTGCTACTTCTACTTACTACTGGTCCTCATGTACATTCTCCATTACTTACTACTAGGCAACTAACTTTGTCCATTATTGCGAATTCGGAACAGGCCACTTAGTCCAAAACAAATTTAATTGATGCACTGATGATGATACAAAACCAAGTGGGTGCTACGGTAGGTGTATAATGAAATTAATGCTATCATAGAATGTGTTTGATCATTTATAATTGAACTGATGAGGAATTCGACTTTGGCGACACTGTGAATCAGTAGCTAGGTGATGTTTCAGTGGAAATGTATACAGGGTGTTTTATAATTGAATGTCAAAATGCGAGGAGGCAATTCTTGGACCCATTCTCAAAAGAAAGTTTCATATGAACGTATGACCTAAACGTTCTAACTTTTGAGATACAGGGTGGTATAGTTCTCGAAAATTATTATAGCCTACTACAATGAGAAGTTATAATTCCAAAATACCAAATACGAATACGGAGTTCATAACCTCCATTTAGTAACGAGTGTTTATTAAACTAGTATCTAGAAGAGATTATAAACGCGTTACATACTATGCTTTTTCTACGAACTCCGAAAATTACATTAACATACCTGCTATTCCTGCTAACCTACAAAATAATTCGAAAGGAATGGAAATTGAGAACATAATACATGCAACTACATGCAACCAGCGAAACACCTATAAGTGATATTGGTTTTAGATGTGTCCAGTCCATTGCTTACTAACCTTTGTTTCACGTTTATTGTCAAGCTTAGCGCAGAATAAATGAATTGTTCTCAAAGATGGATGCTTCATTTTTACATTTCTTGGAGATATGCAAATACCAGAACATTCTCTTCGATTTCACTTTCGTCTACATTTCGCATATATTTTTATTGAAGTATTCTGATACAAACGAATATTGTTTGAATAATTCTGATACAAAATTCGAAAATAACAGTTGACAGTTAATACAATTGACAGGCCAGACATGTCTCAAATTGCTGAAGCTGTGTTTATTGAACTGTGTTGCCATGGAAATGTGTTTAAGAAATCGTGTTGCCATGGTGACGTGTTTAATATTTTGAATAAATCACAGATCGACAATCCGTGATCAATCGATCATTTAGCGTGGTACATATTCGTACGCTAAATGCCATTTTAGGTATGTGAGTAGAAAAAATCTATTTATCTGCATTGTGATATTGTCATATCAACGATATTGCTATAATCATGTAGTGAAAAGCTTTTTATTTTTTCAAGCGAAAACCAGATCAGATTGAAAAAATTATGATGATAAAATTTGCTCAGAAATGATCTTGAATTTCAGGAATGATTCCAATTTCGAGATTGATCAGTGGCGTACCATCAATGTCTGCCAAAATAGATATGTGTAATTCCATACGAACGCCACTGGTGGCAACAACAAAAAATGTGGTACACCAACTGATGCCTCTTGATACATAGTACATGTATGCCAAATTTCATTAGAATATCTGAAGTGGTATCACAAATATTACCTAATAAAAACTATAAATTTTTGAGAACTTCACCACCATGTATCTCAAAAGCTATGACTTTTGGGTCATACGTTCATATTGAACTTTCTTCTCAGAATGGGCCCAAAAATCGCCTCCCCAAATATTGACATTCAATTAGGAAACACCCTGTATACCTACCCCTATTAAAAAGGGTTAAATCAAGTTGCTTCTAGCTCTCTTCCTCATTATAGAAAACAAAAGCAGTCATTCTTACACTTCAAGCAGCTTTTCTTTGAAATATACCTTCCATTCTTCAACAATTTCATATTGTTTTCAACCGCCTGCATGAACAAGTCTCTGCTTATATTTTAACAAGAATTTAACTTCATCACTTCCACTTTTCCCATCTACTTTCAATTCACTTATCATTCATATCGAATGGATTCAATGATATATCAACTACGAGAAAGCCAAAAAGCTCAAAGTGAAATAAAATGTTGGATAAATATACAATTCTCTCATTTCCGTAACAGTTCATGAATAAACGAAACTGGTAGATAACAAGAAAAAATCAACTACTTTCCTCGCTATAAGCCACGCAGAACATTGAATTACATCCTGAAATCCACACAACGATTCGTATCAACCGAGAAGATTGCAAGTGCTTTTTTCAAATGAGAGCCAAAAGCTCGAAACTGCGGTCTGTAGGTAGTCAAGCGATCCTGAACAATTCAGACACAATTCAGCATTTACAAGAAACGCTTGTGATCTTATTCGTCGATACGAATCGTTGTATAGATTTTGGAAGGATATAATTTAATGTTCTGTTGTTTTTCTCTCGTTACCTACCAGTTCCGTTCATTCATGAACTTTCGTGGAAATGACTTTGAGAATTTGAGATTTGTGTATTTTTTATTCAATAATAATATATATATTCTATGATAAAAAGAGAAGCTATACAGGGTGTCCCATTCGGAAACGAGAGAACTTCAACGGTTGGTAGAGCTTCTCAATTTGGTATTGAATATACCATATTTGTAGGGTCTTACAATCTTCCAAATCAGAGATATAGGGTGTTTCATCAATTTTGCTCAATACTTTGTGAGGGCATAACTTACGAACCACCCAGTATACTCTTTTGCAATTCTTTACACAATTCCTTCTTCTTCTGTCCAAGCAAAAATTGATCATATTTTCGAACACCCCATATTTTCGAATTTCTAAATTCTGCTCACATATTTGTAAAGTGCACAAAAAGCTGAATCGAATTTTTAATTTTTCTGCATGCTATTTCACTAATACAAAATGTCTGATTTTGAATATGAGGTCAAATGCATTTGGATTGGTATATTCAGAACTACTTGGATGAGCTCTACTCGCTGTTAAAGTGTTTCCGTTTCTCAATGGGATTCCCTGTATAGCCATGAATGATTTTTTTGCAGATTAGAGCTGAAGCAGCTTACTTATACGACGCTGTTCATCTGTATGCCAAAGCCTTGATCAAGGTTCTAGATGGAGGAGGAAATCCCAGAAATGGTACCGCTATAATCGATTCTATGAAACGAATGCATTATAAAAGTGCTATGGGGTGAGTCACAGCCGTCTTCAACTATCGTGAGTGTTTTCATATCATCATATTTGGTAATATATATGAAGTGATGAGTTCATACTCACATGCACATAAAACTTTCCGAAATGATAGGTATACTCCAAAGATATTGAATTAGATTTATATAAGAATGATTCAATCCTTATCTTGCAATGTAAACACCTAGAAGAGAACGCGGTGACGTCAGCTGAAGTTTTTAGTCATGTGTTGGGACGGTTAACAACGTGCCGAATTCTTTCACAGATATACAGTAAAATATCCTTAGGTACACCAGTATTGATTGATCGATTGATTAATAGCAGAATGATCAGTCAGGTTTCGAAGCCCAAAACACTGCAGCCTTTGGGCCTATTGTATTCCTGATCGTGCTGTTGACTCAGATGAACAGGTTCGCTACCTTGATAAGGTTTAGCAGCCTCTTCACCAAATCATTCTTTGGAAATGCCTCTTGAGAGTTTACTGCTCCCAGAAGGTTGTATCTCCAACGCGCTAGTGCTTCGCACTCCAATATTACATGGGTGGCAGTTTCCTCCTCCTCATTGCATTGTCTGCATATGGGTTCGTCTGCCCATTTGATGCATATGTTTCGTCAAGGGGCAGTGACCGGTTATTAGTCCCGTCACTTGTCTGATCTGACTTCTGTTTAGGCTCAGAATGTCGTTAGTCACTGTTTTGGACAGTGTTCCAACCATCAGTTTACTGTGTCTTTGTCCTGGGACATTGTTCCAGTATGCCTGATGTCTTTCTTGCATCCACCTTGCCAGCCAGCCGCTTATTGAGGTTTTGGGGATACCGAACACAGGTTCCGGTTTCATAAACAACGCCGCAGACCCTTGCCTAGCAAGAGCGTCAGCTGCTTCATTGCCTTCAATTCCCTTATGCCCTGGCACCCCTTTGAAGGCAATCCCAGACCAGTTTTGATCTGATTTTCTTGCATGTTAAAGATTGAATGGCCGCCTGACTATCTGAGCATATGAGGATTTGTTTACACCAGTATTAATCATTACTTTCCTCTTTTATCCAAATGGTATACCTATATTTTTCCAGTTTTCGGATTCCAGACCGAACTCAAATTACCTTTATAATGATGTACAATACTTCATTTTAAGTTCAATGTTATTGCGACTATTTAACTCATATACAGGGTATGTCACAACGAGCTTACGCAATCTCTAAATCAAGAATCAGTCGGGAGAAAAACATTAAAATATGCATGCTTATATTTTAGAATACGCTCTCTCCATTCAAAATATCTCCAGCAATGCAGTGTTGCCGCTTCTATCAAAAAGTATCAACAACTTTGTTATTTCATAAAGAATACCCTGTATTCTATTGAATTTTTGGGGTCTATCGGAAATGATTACAGAGATGTAGGGTGTTCAAAATCGAGATTTTCCATCTTTTGGATTTGTTTCTGTCGAAACTATTCATTATCGGCCGAAACGGCTCACATGTCCCTATCTCAACTTTTGATTTACTATTCACTGAAATTCAATCAGAACAGATACAGGGTGATCAGAATTCTGAATCTTGAACCACTCTGTATCTGTTCCGATTAAATATCAGTAAATAGTGGATCAAAAGTAGAGATTATTAGTCCAGTCTCCCAAATTTTAAATTTCAAGTTAAGAAGGTAGATGATTCGTTATTTTTGATGTTCTAATATTGATGATGAAATAAAATTGTTTCGACAGTGATATGTCATTATGTCGAATGATTCGTTCAATTTCTTGCCTTGAAATTTGTGAAGACACACTGGCGTATTTTGTATTCACCCAGATTACAAATACTGATGATGACTGTTCAATAAGATATCAGAGCAAAATGCGGTAATTTTTGTTATTCGGAAAAACCATTCCATTAATGCATAATAGGTACCTCAAATTCATAAGTGAAAGGAGACTCTTTCGCTAAAATATAAAAATAAACTATTGCAATTTTCACTTATTGCACCTGTGCAATTATAACCGAACACATCACTCGGAATTTAAAATAATAATAATAATTGCAGTAGGCTGTGAAGCATATATTGTAATCTTGATTTTGTACTCAATGTTTCAAAATCTGTTTTCAACAATATCGACTTGCATGGTACTCGAAGATTCCATGATATAGTGTGAAAAATCACTTCATTTTATTAGAATTCATTCATTATCTTGGTAAAAGTGGTAGAGTGCTGTAGTGGACAATAAATGTTAGTTACATCAGAGGATAGAAAGAGGAAATGTCGGAATTTATATATGAATCTACTTGTAAGTTATGAGTGTTATTATTGAATGTCACTTATGGGGGAAGAGGACAATATTTATTCGCCCTCTTATATTTTGCACATCTTGAGTCTAGACTTAATGTGTCTAATGCATTTCGTTTCCCAGGGTCACTTTTTGATATTCTTCTTACTTACTGCTGATATAATAATAATAATAATAACATTTAGTGATACCAAGAAACATACAATGTTTATAGAGGGAAACAAAAAAAATATAATAAATAAATCAAATATGCAATACAATGAAAGATAAACAGATCAATCAGAATTAATTGATACAAGGAGAGAGTTAAATTGATAAAATATATTCCTTCAGTTCACACTTGAATTTTGTGACGAACCTAATAGATTTTATTCTGTTGGGTAGACTATTATAAATATTAATTCCACAAAAATACAATGATTTTTTCCGGAATTGGGTTTTTATTTTGACAGTTTTCAAATGTTCACTTTGTCTGGTATGTGATGCTCATGGGTATCAGAATTGATATTGAAAGTAAAATTCGAGTGATTTCGATTCTTATTCTTAGTGAGATAAATGAAAATGCATACTTTCATTTTGAAGAGAGAGTCAATATCCAGCAGATCCCTTGGTTTGTATAGTCTAGATGTTGATTGCAGAAATGGTAGTTTATAAATACATTTTGTGACTTCATTTTGAAGAGATAGGTTTCAAAACAGATTTTGCTGCAGTACCCCAGATCGATATCAGATACTGCAATTTTGAGTAAATCAAACTGAAATAAATTAATTTCAAGTGTTGAACAGGTATAATTCAATTCAATTTGTACTTATAATATACCGACAATGGGAGATATTTTTTTTCTGAGCAATGAATATGCGATGACCAAGATAGAGTCTGGTCTATAGTTAAACCTATAAGAGTTTGGAGTTTTTTGTAGGATTTATACAAAAATTCCCGAATCTTAAAGGATCTATTTGGTTATCAGGTATAACTCTTTTCGAGATGAACATAAAAGAAGATTTATCGCAATTGAGTGTCAATTTATGATCTTGTAACCATAATGTGATTGAAGCAAGATCTTGTTCCATTTGGATTATTATTTCTTGTATATTTTTTTCGTGGTAAATGAGAGTTGTGTCATCGGCGAGTAATTTTAAATTCCCTTGTGATTTCAAACTTGAAATAGAATTTATATAAATCAGAAATTCACTTCCCCAGTAGCGAATTTTTTCCAGTTAAAGTCTCCACCCAGTATGTAAATTTATTACTTTTTTTGTAAAATTAATTAAAACAGAGCGTGCGGAAATATCATGCAATTTATAAGTGTATAATAATAATGATAAATTAGTGTCAAAATATTTTTCAGTATGTTATGAAATGTTCCAGTAGATCCGTCGATCAATATGCAAACCAGGGGATCTACTGAAAATTCATTAGAACGGCAACCCTGCAGCGGACGATAAGTTAGAATGCAAAATGTAATTTCTCGTAGAGGTCGACGCAAATATATGTTTTTATCAAGTTTAGTGATTGAATATTCATTCTTTGATCGATAATCTCGACAAACATTGTCCATAGTTCAACCTTTCAATGAAATGTCAAAAAGTCAATTTAACTATGGTGAAGCCAGCTTAATTGATTCCCGGAATTAAAGAGAAAGAAAGCATCGAGTTATTGAAGGAAAAGAGGCATAGTTGCGAGATCAGAAAGTGGCCATTCTCCATAAATGGCTCTCGAGTATTTAGTTTATGATTTTGTTATTTGTTCCTCGTATAGTTTGCTCAAATTTAAATCTAGATAATCAAGAATTCCCTCTATTGCCTGTGGTCTGTGGAAAAAATCCTTAAATAGCTTTTACTTTTCTATACTAACTCAATGGCAAAAGGGAATCATTGATTGAGATGTTTTCCAATTAATAAAATTAGCATTTTATTCAATGCACTGATTGAAACCGGAATAGAATTATCTTTGATGCATCTAGAAAACCGCAATGTCTGTTTTGGAGCCTATAGTTGGAGGATATACCTAACATTTCTATTTCCCTCGGTAATTATTTGTTTGCTATCTATACCGAATCGAAAGGTCAATAACATATATTCCGGGATTCCGGAACTGATTGAACTGTCCATCTATGGAAATGGGATTGGAAACTATTTACTCACGTGGAATTGAAAAATTGATTCCATCCGGAAATAGTTTATACCAATACCAATAATATATTATATGCATATCATAGCAGGTGACCACGAGAAAATCTCTGAATCTTCACTATTTCCATTCCTTTTTCTTTAAGAACATTTTATATAGCCAACCATTATCATTAAATGTTTCAATGAGCTTATAGAATACAGGGTGTTCCTTTTAAAATATTAGTTTGAGTCGTATCTCCAGAACCATACCCCAAAAAAATTGAGTACGCACTGGATTTTTCGTAAAATTCTCTATGGAATAAGATTTTGATCTGAATTTTCGCTGAGAAACATCGTGAAGGACATTAACTTTGATTTTTTCAATGAAACACCCTATATATTTTCTGACATGTCGATAGAGCCTTTTTTTCTGATTCCAAAAATATATATGAGTTGCATATTTGGATGACAAATAATTGAGTTATTGATTATCAAAGTTGATGTCCTTTCTGGAAAAACGTATGACCTTGTATATAAAACAACTTCAGGAAATAGAAGTTTGGGCTGTTAGACACAACTTTTTCCTTCAACATTTTTTCATATCACTGAATACGAAAGAGTTAAGGGGAGATTCCATTTCAAGAGGCACACCCTGTACACTGAATGAATCACTTTCAATTCTCCTTATCTTCCAGTTATATCGTGTACATGGACGAAAATGGGGATGCAGAGGGTAATTACACCCTGATAGCCAGGAAGCTGTTGAAGAATTCCACCAACGAATACGGTCTGTTTCCTGTTGGAGTATTTGCTTTACGTCGAACCGACTCCAGATTGCCCGTGAGTAATACGAAGAAATATCTTTTAGCTAAGCACGCACTTTCCAAAGTCAAAGTTAGGGCTTCGCGAGACAAAGAACAAGAAAAATAAATCTAGTCTTGGTCTTGGCATTGGTGTTGATGTTTCTATTCAGATATCCAACAGTTTATATGCATATAATAGGTATTTCGTATTTCTTAGTCTTTAAAATTGTCAATTTGTGCCAGAAAAAAGGTTTACAAGGGTCGGAACTGACAACACCGCATTATCAAAATATTTAGGAATATTTCAAATTCAAACCAAATAACTTTTGTATTACTGGTACTGGTACTGGTGGGGTACGTTTGCTCGTCAGCAACTAGTCCCTAATGGGACCTTTTTGCAAGCCCCAAGGTGTTTTCCATGACTGATGTGGTTCTCACTCTCTTTCAGGGTTTTTCCGCTGTGTTTTGTAGGCTCGTAATGTACTCACTGCCATATGCTGCACCCAGCGAGCACAAAAACATCTCAGAGATGTTAAAAGTACGAGATTTCGAGACATTGAACCTCCACTGCGATGTTCTGTTCACACATGAATAGAACTATTATAGAACAGCCAATGTCCGCCGCAGGCGGCAATTATCGAGATGGACTTGATATGTCACAAAACTACCTTCTCCCTAGTTCTTTTTGAAGCCTTTTCATGGACACAACAAAACATTTTCAACGCGTCTTGCGCACATTAAATCACTGTGAAAAAAACATTTTCGAGGTACTTTTCTGAAGCTTTTGGTCAAAATGAACTTTTGCATTAGGATTCCATTTCCCTTGAATGAAAAAATGCATTAAAAATAGATTGAACATAAAAATATTTTCTTGATATGAAATTACCTTCTTAATCGGTTTCTGAGTAGTGCTTACTACACACACACATATAATTGGAAATAGGTTTCCCAATTTTTGAAATGTTCTCCACAATGCATAATTTTGCAACTGCGGAGAAGCTGTGTATTGATAAATTCGTACTTTTATATATTGATTACACTGAGGCACCGAACAACACATCTTGCATCTGATGGTCATTATTATAAACTAAATAAATCTTCTAACACAATAAACTTCACCAAACTCCTTTCTGTTCGTTAGCAGCGTGATGTAAGCGTGACACGCTGCAAATGCGATTGTCAATTGCGAACAAGAAGAACAAAATCGAAAACAAATCAGAATTCATCGTATTGTGACGTAAGCATGAGACGTTCTGGTGGGGCAAACAAAGAAAGGACACAAAAAAAACAAAAACAATACTTTCAATATCCTTCTAAGACCTCTTTGAGAAGTGCATATTACGCCTCAAAAGAACATCCTCATGCCTACATTTATAAAACATCCCAAAACATCCCAGGGATACCTCTCAGTAGGCAAACAAAGACATGCCACAGAAGAACAAAAACAATACTTCAATATCCTTCAAAGACCTCTTTGGTCAGTGCATATTACGTCTCAAAATAACATCTTCATGCCAACATTTTCAAAACATCCCAAAACATCCCAGGGATGTTTGTGCTCGCTGGGCAGTGGCAGGCCTGCTAGCTATCCTCGTTAACCCCGTCAGCTGGTAGTTTTCCACACCCACCTACATACACCGTCCTACTTCTTCTCTGATGCTCACAACCACATCATCATCTCTTTCTCCGTGTTCTCTGCAGGCTTTGTTACTGACTTCATGCGCCACTTTAGGAGCAGCACTGTTAATTGGAACGCAACAGCGAATCGTGCAGGACTATCCCCAGCCGATGCTTCGAAACTTTACAATATTCAATTCGTAAATAAAATATTGAAAAAAGTTCCTTGCTGGTGCTGGGAATCGAACCCACGGTCGTGAGACGGACGCTCTTCCACTGCGCCAATCCCGGCTCACTTTTGTATTAAATATGTTTCTATCTTCAATAGGGGGAGGTATAGACCACTGTGACCTTACAACATACACCTATTTGTTGTAAACTTTGAAACTGCAATACTGAATTTGAAATATGTATTTCGGATTTTGAGTGAACAAAAATTAAAAACGTACCATATGACAAATTAATAGTTGATGAAATAATCATAGTCTCCGACTCCTAACCCCAGATGGAAATTTTGAATAGAATCGGATCATAATTACAAAACTCGTCCGCCATATATTGGATCCGCCATCTTCAATTCCCCAATTTCCACGAAGAAACTATAATCTCCGATCTCGAGAACTCTCAGATACCAATTGTGAACAGAATCGGATCATACTCACGAAATCCGCCATATTGGATCCTCCATCTTGAATTTACAGGGATAAAAAGTGATCTATAGTAGTCCCTGCATTTTCTTTGTTGCGAAATATTACTAGTTTTGATACACCCTGTATGGGTTCACGTTTTCTGTTGACCAATGAAAGTTAGCCTTCATACCACGTGATTTATAACTTATATAACTTTACGCTAACGATCGATTGCTACTTCGAGATTATTTGGATTTCACAGCTGTTACCAATGGCCAGCTGTGAATCAAAACCAACACAGCCTCTGACACTTCAGCAGTGAGTGATTATTATATCATGGAAATAAATGGAATCAGAAGAAAATTCTAAACTTGCAAGACGGAACTTTCTTCAAGATATGGAAATATACAGGGTGATTCAAAAGTAAGCGGCATCCTTTCAGAGGCGTATTCCTTGCATGAAAATAAGGCAAAAAGTTCCTATTGATAAGGATCCGAAAATGCTTCCTAAGGGAGCTACGGCCCTTTGAATAGGACACCTCAAAGACGGTTTTTTCTCTATAACTTTAAAATCCTTCACAACAAATTTTTAAAAATTGGTGTACGGCATAAACATTCGATGGTAAATAGGACTCCGTATTCGAAATAATTTCCAAACGAAATCACAGTAACCTGAATATCCGGAGAAGAAGGGATATTTTTACACTTACCCTCTCCCGCATGTGACGCCCCTGAATGAAATTCTGAAATTTCGAATACGGAGTCCTATTTACCATCGAATGTTTATGCCGTACACCAATTTTTAAAAATTTGTTGTGAAGGATTTTAAAGTTATAGAGAAAAAACCGTCTTTGAGGTGTCCTATTCAAAGGGCCGTAGCTCCCTTAGGAAGCATTTTCGGATCCTTATCAATAGGAACTTTTTGCCTTATTTTCATGCAAGGAATACGCCTCTGAAAGGATGCCGCTTACTTTTGAATCACCCTGTATTTCATTCCCTTTTTTTATTTTGTTCATCATTGATACATTGATGAAGGAAGGTGAGTACAAACTGACCGGAGAAAAAACGACATTAGATAAGGAAAATGTCATCTCCTTGAAAAATAAATATCTTCCTTGATTATCCATTTTGTTTTCTCATTTTTTGGTGCATCCGAAAGGAAATTTTAATTATCTACTTGGATTTTTTCAACTTTTGGAGGCTGCTGGGATTCTTGAGGATTATTTCCTGAGCAAATAATTCAAAAGACTGCTGCCTGCTTCTTCTGTGAACAAACAATAAGTTATGGCAGGAAGTTGTTATGTTTAGGGTTCTAGAGTTTACCTACTTCTTATATTTTCTCCAAGAAAGTACTCTGTAGTGATCAAATTTTTCTTTTGTGTCTAAATTGCATTTTTTATCGTCTTCATTTCACTGCACTGTATAATTTGTATCATTCTCACTATATGGTCCATATAGTACACACCATGCTAATGACAATGAAGTCCAATGGAAAGTTAGAGAAGAACAGACTATTCACACTTTATTCGATTCTCAAGTAACTACAAAACCTCCATACTAAACCACCAAATACTATTCAATAAAGTTTAAGTACACTTCAAGGCTTCTTCCAGCACTTTCTCCAACAAATCCCTGTATTTCTTGACGGTCAGATCAACACATGCTTGGCCCTTTTCCCTGATCTCGATGGCCTTGAAGTGCGCCTCTCTATGTGTTTCTATCGCCCCCACCAGTGTCTTTTTCACCGGAAGTACATCAGTAGCGATGATGTTGCGATAGCAGGAAATCACCTAGGAAGTGACAAATATTTCTCTTGAAAATTTTTCAATCTTTACATAAGCATTTCTTGAAAATCAAAAATTAATCGGAAGTCATATGAAATTATTCTAGAGGAGAGTCAGGACAAGAAATAGGTACAAGATTTTGCGATGCGAACAAAACACAAATCTGGATTGCATCGTACCCACAGATCGTGAGAACCAAGGAAAATAAAGTAGGAATTGGTGTTCTTCTTGAATTTCTGGAGGTTATATGCCTCGGGAAACACCTCCCATGGCAATGTGTTCCAGAGCCTCGCTGTTCGTTGGATGAACGAGTCTTTGGTAAGAGATGTGCTGCAGGTCTCCAAAGTGACCACGAAGGGATGCGAAGCCTGAACTCGACGGGTTAATCTCGAGGGGACACTACCAAGGGAGGAACAATTGTTGAAATTTCAGAAGAGCAATCGTCCATGAAAAAATCTATAAAATAGAGCCAGATCGCCAACTTTTCTACGGTGTTCCAGAGAAGTGAGTGAGTTTGTGAGCGAGGCATCACCCACGAGACGAATATCCCTTTTTTGTGCAGAATCTAACATAGTCAGGGTATGTTTGGGTGCTGCACTCCAAATATGGAAACAGTATTCCAGGACAGGTCGGATCTGTGCCTTATAGATCATAAGCAGCTGACTGGAAGTGAAATAGCTCCTGGCCCGAAACAGAAAACCAAGTTTTTGGGATGCACTTTTGGCGATTGATCTCACGTGGTATGGTTACTCCTGACAAGCTTATGTTGGGCACAGTGAGATCGGCTTTTCTAGAGAAGAGGCATACTAAACAGGAGAAGAGATAAATGCATATATCTTCATTCCTCTATCCTTAGCAGCTGCACAGAATTAGTTGAAATAAAAAATAGAAGCTCAGTTGACAAGAAAAAAATATTTTCATAAAATGTTGGGATGCATCCGAGGATGTATCATTGAATGTGACAGTAAATATCACTGAATTGAGTGTCAGTATTCCATTTGTCATATAATTCGACACCACATATGATGGAACACTGACGTTCACTCAATTGACATTATTGACTGCCCCATTCAATGATACATCTTGAAATTTATTGTAAAGGGCTATCTATTCTTGTCAATTGAGGATTTATTTTTTATTTTAACTCATTTTGTTCGAAATACAAATTGTCCTCATCATATATCATTGTATTTAGATAAAAATCTCAGCAGAAAAAAATAAAACAGTACCGCATTTGACACAAAAATCAATGGCCAGTTGGAATTTGAAAAAAAAAAATATTCCATTTGCTTTTTGTTTTTTGAAATCGGAAAGTTAATTGCAGAGCATTGGGCGTTTTGTGTCAGATAGTCTGTATATATTCATGAAATATATCGAATATTTATCTGAAAAAAACCATTTCTTTCAGAAGGTACCAATGTGAATTCCTCTCTTTTTTGCTGTCCTCAATGAGCTGAGACTTCCTATGCTGCCCCCCTCAAACATCACCCGGACCCGCCCCTGAATTCTATAGAAGTTTTTTTTTGTTTTCTAAACTACTATATTTATTTTGTGGCTTCAGCAGTCTGGATAGTAGTATGTCAATGGATGCAACCGCACTGAGGAAAATTGTGCTATTGGAGTTTTTGCTGAGATATTTCCTGCTACCATTACAAGAAATCATATTACCGTTGTGAATTTTCGAATAGAAGCAGCACCTTCGAATCCTATGATAGCAATAACGACTTCGATGAAAGTGAATTTCCTGACATAGGAAGGTATACTGCTGTCGCTATCAGGCAGCCACTCTGAGACAGCATGATTTTTTTATAATTGTCTAGCTGAACTACTATTAGTGAGTTATATGCTTGTGTATGCTAGGTTCATCGCATAGAACTGCACTCATTACAAATAATACAACAGTTTGCCACGAAAATAATATTTGACGAACCTATACTTGGGGTTATTCAGCGCCTACTCATCATGATTCGATATTTTGCTGATTTGTCCCTCTCTATATAAGCATTTGTTAGACATCTTGCTTGATCAATCCTTCATAGTTGGGCTCTCGATGCAAACCCATGTACAGGACGACAATCTCGACGAGACGACAGTTACGAATACTTTCCCTCTTGAATTCAATTTATCATTTAAAATCTGGATCTGAATACAAATATAAAATTTTTGAAAAAGAAACTTATTGTGAGCAAAAATGTTTGTTTTCCTGCACGCATCAGTAATAACTTGCCTAGTCGAAATACAATGGTTTCAGAAAGTTTCAGAAAATGTTGTTTTCGATTTATGACTCAAAAATCTTTTGTTTTTTTGAGTGTACATGAATCAATTGATATATTGAATTTCAGAGATCATTGGTCCGAAATGTTCTTTAAGAATCAATAGATTGCTATTCATAACAAACATCAGGGTACAAATTATGATGGGAAGTGAGATTGGATATCAGTCGGAATTTCACCTTCCTTGATGACAACAATCCTGGAAAATAACTGAATAACTACAGCAAGAAGGTCATGCAACTTTCTATATGATGATCACCCATCAAGAGTAGCAAAGTTCCCTACCTACGATTATAACATTGCCCTACTCCCATTATTAGATGCACTCACTAGCGGTAGCAAAGTCATATACTTACTACAGAAACATCGCCTCATAGAAATATACCGATGCACTATCTAGTGGCAGCAAGGTTCTGTATCTGATAATCGCAGGTGGGTTATAATCAGCAAAGTCGACTTTATAATCACAGGTGATAACTTGCTTGTCCTATTAAAGTTTCTTGCTGGGGTAATTCGATTTCTGACTATGGTTAATAGGAATTTTCCTCAGTGCGATAGCTATTGCATATTATTTTTTAAATTGACTCTGCCGTTACTTGATGGAAATCCCTGGCAAATGTAAAAACTTCACAAACGATAAGATTTCCACAACATGTTTCGCTAACACAGTAGCTTCGTCAGGTGATATACTGGTACAATGAAACATGTTGTGTGTTTAAAAATTTCGTGGGAATCTTATCGTTTGTGAAGTTTTTACAATCGCATATTATGGTAAATTCATCACCGCAAGTCCGGGTTTTTTGCTGCACTCGCCCAAAGCATCTAGCAGCTGCTGCCCTCTATCAATGGCGGAATTGGTCACATTGGCGAGCCGGTCAGAGCAAGCCGTGATATCTGCGGATGCTATGTCGGTGCAGGTTCCTAGAGCTTTGCGACCATCTTGGGCTAGCTGCTTGATGACCGGTCGGGATTCCAGCATGCAGACAGAGTTACCATCGCAAGAAAGACCTGGAAGAAACAGGAATTTCAGAGAAAATTTCACACCAAACATTTTTCTATCAATTTAAAGCCTGTATTTCGTATCGTTACCATAGCAACTAAACAAATTTTTTGGAAATTTTTTCCACTTCCTTGGGAGACGGAGCATGAAATTACACTTGGAATTTTTTGACGTTTATAGTTTCAATGACATTTACATTCAACTTCAGATTATTTCGAGTTCATTCTATAAGTTAATAAATAAAAATCATTCATCAACAGTTTACCATATAATATTATGTAGGTATACTTGCAAATTCGAAATTTACAGAAACACATGTTGTTACTATACGTTAGTTATTCTTACATTTAATAATAATGATAATAATAATAATAATATGCTTTATTGTCTGAAGAAGAATCTTGTTGATAAAGCTAGGTCAGATAATATTGTAAAAAGAGGTTAAAATATAACGACACAAAAATACGTGACAAAATATAGTCAAAATAAATACCACATTGAAATACTAAAATATCACAACTCAAACGTATCACTATAATATTCCTGCAAACTGTAATAGGGTCTATCAGAGAGGAACTTTTTGACTTTCTTCCTGAATTGACAGTCATTCAGACTTGCTGATCTAATATCAACTGGCAAGTGGTTGTACATTTTTCCACCATTATAGTATATGGAATCTTTAATGAACTCTCTTGTGGGTAGAGGAAGTTTCAAACTGAAATTTCTGTTACGCGTGTTATGATGGATGGGAGTTGTAGTGAATTTTAACTTGTGCTTATTTATCAGGCAAACAGATTCCAGAATGAATAGTGCAATGTGCAATCACTGTCAATATTTTATTATTGGAAAATAAAATTCTGCAAGAATCTCGAGGTTTGACATTACACAAATACCTCATCGCTCGTTTCTGTAGAATTAACAGAGTTTTTAAAGACGTTGGACTGCACACTCCCCAAAAAGGTATTCCATATCGTAATTGGGAATCTATTATCATTTTCATAATATGAACACTATGATATTATACCTACTCTTCAGTTTTGACATGAAGAATGACATACGTAAATAAAAATAGCTATTTATATATCAAGGGAGGAAAGGTATTCATTTCCTCCCGCGTGTGAAGTTTGATACACGACGCGTAGCGGAGGGCATACAAGGTGCCAGCTCTCTTAATCACCGCTGCAATACGAGTGTTCATACCGTCCAACTGCGACATGTTCTCTGAAGACAAGTGTACGCCACCGGTTCTTTTGAGTTTAATATTTTTATTGGATTGAAATATTGAAATCACTTCTTTTTTATCCTCTGTGTGTTTTTTGTATCTAGCTCAGTTTTTGAGGAAACAATAAAAATCCGATTTGACAAAAAAAATGTACGTGTTTTCAAGACTTCCATTGAGATTACTCAATAATCCAATTAGGAATCATTTTGAAATTTTGGGGCTTTCTCAGTCTCCATCCATACTGAATTTTGGCACCATAAAAGCTTATACAGGGGGGTTATAAATAAAAACAATTAATACTCCCAACTTCAATATCCTGTATCTCAAAAAGGAAGGAAGTTAAACACATGTTCATATGAACTTCATTTGCTGGGTGTATGATAAATTGACATTCATCATACAGGGCGTGGAAAGAAATTCTGAATTGAGACTCTATCACGAATCTGCGATTATAAAGGTCTATAAAAATCATAAGTTTCCATCGTTCAAGTTTGAACCCCCTGATTGGGTATGAAAGTGTTGAAAAGGAATATTCTCAGATAAATTATGAACATACAAAAATCGATATATATTTATATAAAGCAATACATTCTCTATGTGATGAGAATATCTACTCTTTTTCAGTTTATTCAATAGAAAACAACTACTTTCCTGGCTATATGCCACGACGAACATTGAATTATATCTATTGAACACACAATAAGAGTTTGAAAATAAAATATAAAATCTTCTGAAATTGAGAATTTGCATTCTCCTTCAGACAAAAATAGGAGGATTCAGAAATCCGAAATGGTTTCATTGCAATAAAGTCATATAACCTGTGTGTGAGAGATAATATTTCCCATATCACTGATATGAATGATTATTTTTGGAAGTTTTCAAGTTCATCAAGATCAGAGTTTATGCCAGTATACTTCTCCTATACATTCCAATTTTCATTTCAATGCTGAATATATTGGTAAGTTATATTTCTATATCATTATACATCATATTATTCATCCGATTTGGAGAAGAATGTCAATTCTCAATTTCGGAGGATTTTATTATTTATTTTTCATGTTCTCCTTTTGAATGATCATCAGATATATAATTCAATGTTCGACGTGGCAAATAGCCAGGAAAGTAGTTGTTTTCTGTTGAATATTCAGAATGATGTGTGCACTGTGCATATACATATTCTTGTCTGAAGGAGAATGCAGATCCTCAATTTCAGAAGATTTTATATTTTATTTTCAAACTCTTATCGTGTGTGTTCAATAGATATAATTCAATGTTCGTCGTGGCATATAGCCAGGAAAGTAGTTGTTTTCTATTGAATAAACTGAAAAAGAGTAGATATTCTCATCACATAGAGAATGCGAATTCTCAATGTATTGCTTTATATAAATATATATCGATTTTTGTATGTTCATAATTTATCTGCAAATATGTTTGATGGGAATTTCTTAATATTTCCATTTTTCTTTCGTTGTAACTTACGCATAAGGGTTATCTTTTCCAATAAATCCAGAGTATATTCTGCTCTTGTTACTGTTATTCCGATGTCATTCACGACTGATTTCTCTGTCGATTCGGCTATATCTTTGGTGAGAAGTTTGACTTGCTCGAAAACTTCCTGGACATTGGCCAAGAGATTTGCTTGTTCAGCTTGTGTTGGGATCGATTGATTCACTACCAAGGTCTAGAAATAGAGCAGAATCAATAATTATTGTTTATTTCACGTACAGAGCAAATTCGTTCATATTCCACTCATAGTTGAGATTGGAAACAGAAAAAAAACGTACCAAGACCTCCACTTCAGAATGGAAAAAATATACAGGGGATAGCCCTCGTGATTTCGTAATCACTGAGATAGGGACACACGATCTTCAAGTGTTCAGTTCTCGAGATACACACAAAAAAAGAATCTCTTGTATTGAGCATGACTGCATTGGTCCAAGAAAATAATTTGTTTGTATATAACGAAAGAGATGATATTCTTGTTCCGAAACAATGATTTATTCAACAAGTCTCTTGTAGGAAAATTAAGATATGCATGGTTGGAGACGTCTGTTATGTTGTAGTGAGAATGGAATCAATTCATATTGACAAAATCATTTACTTATTTCAGGAAAACCATAATTTTGAGGTGAGAAATCCATCCACCAAGTGGAAACAATCATTTTCCTAATTTGCAACTATAGATTACTATTATTGAGAATTGTTCTCTTTTCTCTTATTATTTTCATTCGAAGAAATACCTACTTATAGACTTGAATCAAGTTAATAAAGTATTGAATCAAAATGTTGCTTCTTCAATTAGAGAAAATATTAATATCATCAAGTCGAAGATATTACATTCCCTTCATCTGAGAAAATCAATATTCATATTTTTGAATCAAGTAAGTATGACATAGAATAGAACTATCAGAAGTCTTCCATTTGATGAAATTGTGATATCAATATGATCAAATTAGAATGCTTCATTTGAAGAAATAACTATTTATATTTTTGTATCAAGAAAATTACGTATTGCCTCAACGTATTCCGTATTTGCAATTTGAGAAAACTGAATATATCATTCGAAGAAATGAGCATTCTTTAATTTGAAGAAATCTATACACATAATCTTGGATCAAGCAATAAATTTATTGAAACAAAATAGTACGTTTCTGCGAATTGAGAAATCCGTTTTGATTGAGTTGAAGTAATCAATTTATTAACTGAATAATTGCATTTTTGGTTTGAGAATATATTCGAATAATATGACACTATTTTCTTGAACATACCAGATTTTTTGACTCAAAAGAATATGCTCAATTCAAAGCAGATATACCATTGAATTTTCAAGAGAATGGGTTTTCTCATTCGAAGAAATTTTTTTCTGTGTGTACAGAGCGTTAAAGTTAAGAAATGAGAATAGTTGTTTCGCAATACCTCAAGAATAATTGGATATAATGCATTCAACTTCGCTATATGGTTTCATCTTTGAATGGGTCATTTTTTGACCAGGAAGCCATTCCGGCCATTTTATCCAGTGGTGCCCTACAGGGGGTTGTGGCAACTTTTCCTACCATATTTTCTACGCCACTGATTGAATTTCGATTATTTCCAATTTCTCGAATTCATTGTTCAATTTTGTTCAAAAAATGTACCACCTACAACTGAGCTGAAATGAACAGTTTTCGAGATATCCGACCCAAAATAGAAGATTGCAGAGTAATATTTCATCATTTTCAGTAGTAGAAAATTGCAAAAATATTTTTGTGGTGTTGAGTAGATTAAATACTATTCAGATCCCATTCTATAGCTGAACAGAAATTGTTATTCCACGTATAGAGAGGAAACAAAAATTTTTGTAATTTTCTACTACTGAGGAAGATGAAAAACCTACTATGCAAACTTCTGTTTTGGGTCAAATATCTCGATAACTGTTCATTTTAGCTCAGTTGAAGGTGATGCATTTTTTCAACATAATCAAACAATCAATTCGAAAAATTGGACATAATCGAAATTTCATCAGTGGCGTAGAAAATATGGGAGGAAATGTTATCACAACCCTCTGTAGCGCACCTCTGGATAAAATTCTCGGAATGTCTTCCGGGTCAAAATATTAACCATTGACAGATGAAACCATATACCGAATTTGAATGCATTATATTCAATTATTCTTGAGATATTGCGAAAAAACTTTTCTAATTTCTCAACTTCAACGCCCTGTATCTCGAGAACTGAACACTTGAAGACCATAATATGTCCCTATCTCAGTGATTATGAAATCACGAGAGCTATCACCTGTCAAGCGTTGTCGATCGAATTTCGCAACACCCTGTATATAGCGTAAATTGACCCGAAAATTCTCAATCCAGATAAAATCACCTAGTATTTATCATTGCATTAGATTCAATGGCAGAATTTTAATCGAAAACTGCACGATTCAACGGGAAATAAAGGTCCCTATTGTGAATTAACCCTTCATATCATTTATGCTGCCATTCATTTGTGGGCCATATTTCTATCCCAATTAATTTTTTGTTCACTTTATTTACAATCTAGAGGATTTGTATGTTGGCTCAATAGAATGTAAATTGACTAGGTTTATATCGATTGAGATACGATCATAATATCAGGTCAAACATCACTTTATTCATGATTGAAAGGTTCACTTGGAGAAGAGTAAAATATACAGGATGATTCAATTTGAAAAGGGAGGTCGATTTATGAAAAATAACAATTTCGTATGAAACGATAATAATATATATTATGTTTCTTGCTTTTTTAATTGAAGGGCTTAATGTGTAACAATAACATACCTCAGAAAGGTGGAAATTGTTTCAGTCATAGGTATACCGGGTGTCCCAGTATACCTGTTCCAATGGATTATCTCAGCCATTTCAAAAGATGAAAATTCGAAAATTACATGATCTACTACAATTCTGATAATTTGAAATTATTATCGAAGTCGAAATCAAGATTAAAAAAATATCGTAGCCTACTGCAATTCGTTCAAGTGCGATATATTGTTGGAACGGTATTTTGAGTAGGAATAAAAAATTGCAAACACTATACAGGGTGCTATATGAAATAAAAAAGTTATAGTCATTTCCGGTCAAACCGGAAGTGACTCTCAATTTCTGCTTTTTTTCAGTTGGAGCTTCCTGGAATGAATTGGAGATCATGAAATTTTCGAATTTTCATTTTTCTAAATGGCTGAGATAATTCATTGAAACAGGTATACTGGGACACCCGGTATATGCGTTATGCCTTATGGGACTATAGTTAACAATAATATTAATGAAATTACTTCAAACTTGGGGAAAACAGGCTCATATATATTTTTGAAATCAGAAAAAAAAATACTGTCGACATGTCAGAAAATATAATGGGTGTGTTCCATTGAAAAAATCAAAGTTACTGTCCATTTCAGGAAAATGAATGACCCTGTGTATAAAGCAACTTCACGAAATAAAAGTTTGGGTCGTTTCAAACAACTTTTTGGTATTACATTTTTTCATATCTATAAAAACAAAAGTTAAGGGATGGTTTAATTTTAAGAGGCGCACCCTGTACATATACGAAAGCCGCACTTTTTGCAATGACAGCCTTAAACCCAGCCTACTGCGATCTGTCTGTATATCAAAAATCAAATCTCTGCTCTCAAAATTAACTGAAGTACAGGGGTGTCTTCATATATACAATGTGTATTGAAAAAGATACTCACATTAAGGAAATATGAACTCAGGGCCAGTAATGACATGATGGTACGCATATTTTATCAAAACTGCCTTATACAGCGAAATTGTTTTTGTATATTGAGATCATGTTTCAGTTGCATGGATTGAATGTTTTCCTTGAATTGTTTGTGAATATAATATACTTTGTTATGTAAAACAACTACATTTTGGGTCATCAAAATTAATAAATATATAATTCTTGTATGTCATAATATACAATATATGACACTGAGAACTTACTATACGTGCAATGAAAACAAACGAAATAATCCCTCAAAAAGTATATCATCACCAGCAGCATCCCAAATCTGAATGAATGTCCACACTTTCCTACAATTCAAATAGATATTCAATATCATCGAAAAAAAAACCGATGTGATATTCAATTCAGGTTATTTCCATGCATCAGATCCCTTTTATGGCAATCTCATCTCTGGACTGGATATCGGGATATATGATTTAGGAAATTAAATTTTTCTCCTGACTGCAGTTTTTCTCGCGTTATTATGAGAGTCACATCAGGCGAGGCCTAGACTGGAAACAATATTAATGCAGAACAGCTAGAACTTTTCTTTTGTTCGAAACTGCATACTACATCAAATTGAAACTTTCAAATTATACTGGGCTGGTGATTTTCATGTGAAATCCTTCATGAGAAAATAAATTCTGGAGCCATTAACATCCCAGCAAACAATTTTGGTCGGCCTTGTGCTGGTCCATAATATGAGAGGATCTTTATTGAACCAACAAAAACTTTTCACATTTTATGTAGGTCTTTTTTTTAATTTCTTACTTACTTACTTTTTTATAGACATATCATTGTTGAGCTATTTAACTCACATGAGCCAGTTGGCATTATCATATAATTTACACAAAAAAATTAACACAAACTGAAACTACAGTATTACCACAGGTATTATACTTACAGTCAATATTACATGATTACAGCAGTGAAAAACATTTTGTACACACTTGTTTACATATCAATTCATTTTGCTCTAGTTTAATAAAGTTTGGAGAAGTTTTTCAACTTTTTCTTGAAAACCATTATTGGAGATCATTTCATATACAAAGTGACACCCTTGATAAATATTGAGTGTTGACCAGAGGTTGTAAAAAACCTCATTGATTCCAAATCATTGTTATGTCTTGTATTATGGTGATGAATATCTCCTGATACTAGTTAGGTTAGACAGCCTGTTATAGAACTAATAATTTGGTATATGGTAATAATGTTATAATTTATATTGAGATCATATGTGTATATTATGCTGTGCAATCCATAAATATTTTTTATTGCTCTATTTTGCTGCAGAACGGCAAACTTCATGTGGAAATTGATGGGCTAGTACCGACAGGAGACTCTGGCCGTCATCAGGGTCAGTACAATCATGTCTGCCGATACATTCAATTAAAAAAAAGACGAACACCAGGGGGTTCGAACTCCGGTCTAGCGGAGGATACATTGAACTTATATTCCAACTGAGCTACTACACCTTTATCGAAATGATATGTGTGTACGGAACTAATTTCGAATATGAATATTTCATTTATAATTATCATCATCATAACAGATATATACAAACGATAAACAAGGAAAAACATCAAATTCTCCGATCAAAATTATTTTATGAGTCAGACGACTTGACTATCTTATTATTGCCGAGTTTGATTACTTCTATGATATTATTTGAATTCAAAACGGCAGAATAGCGCAGTGTTTGAGCAATTGACTAGCAATCAGAACGCCGAAGGTTCTAAAAAATTCTAATTCCCGTAAACGATTCCGCACGATTCGCTGTTGCGTCTAATATCCGTAGCCTCTGTCAGAGATGATTCCGCACGATTCGCTGTTGCGTTCCAATTGACAGTGCTGCTCCTAAGGTGGCGTATGGAGTCAGTAACAAAGCCTACACAAAACACACATGAGCTGAAGGACCTTGGCCAGTTGGTATGTGCATACATACATACGAATGAAGTACAAATACTCACTTACTTACCTTATTTGAATGCAATGAATAAACATTAAACGATTTCAATATGCCATATCATGTAATGGGTAGACGATTGTATGACGTAGGTAAAAACATAATACGAATTGACACTTTTGGCCCAGCGCCGTCGTAACATCCAAGGAATGTTTTTGTCAAAACAATATCCTTGTGGTATAACCTACCTATACATATAAAATATTTCAGGTTCTTCATATGACTGACACTGTAGACTGGATAACTGGAAAACCTCCTATCGCTGTACCGGTATGTGGCTTCAAAGGAGAAAAATGTATCAGTACGTATAAACTAAAATGCACCGGATATACAAGGTGGCCCTTTGAAAACGAAACAGAGGCTCTGTAGATATCCAAAACCAGATTATGAAAAAACTCTGAATAACGTCAACTACATTTTCGAGGGGGACATCGTTCTAAAATATTTCCAGCCCTGCGGCGTTGCCGCTTCTAACGATAAGAAGCAACAACTTTGAGATTTCAAGAGGAACACCTTGTATTTCATTGCATTTTTTCAGATTTCAGATGTTTTTCATATTCTGATTTTGGCGACCTAGAGAGCCTTATTTGTATCGTTTTCAGAAGGCCACCCTGTATAATTAATTGGATCTTGAACCCTTTATTCTAGATACAGTGAAGTCATACTCATCTATTTTCAGCTCACACTCTGGAAATCACTAGTGGTTTTGCCGGCGGCACATTCTTTGTTATCCTCATCATATCGCTAATTTTCTACAGAAACTGGAAATACGAACAAGAGCTCGACAGCCTTCTCTGGAAAGTCGACTTCAAAGATATCCAGATCAATGAGGAAGCCAACTCTAGCTCTAAAATTACTCGAGTGAGTCATTTTACTGAAATTTTACATCACGGTATCACCTGTGAACTAGGTACCCTTAGGAATATTATGTACAGGATGGGGCAGGAAGACACATGGATTTGAAACTGGACGAAACGCAAATTAATAATGGGCGAGTGGACTGATAGTTATTAATTGGTATTCAATTACTCCACTGTGTCGTTAGGAAAATAAATTGATTTTTCCTCACGCTTTCTTTATGTATATAATGAGTCTATGCATTGTTCTGAATTGTTCGGTTTCAGAGCTCATTTCGAACGTATCGTCATGGCCGCCATTAATCTTCCATTTCCACTCATGATGCAAGGTTGTCAAGTCGCCAAATATACTCAAGTTATCAAAGAGATGTTATAGTCCAGTCGTTGAATGAAACATGATAGGGGGAACCCATGATGTTTTAGTTCATTCTTTTTCGAGCAACCAGCTTGTCCAAATATTCATTTTTCTCCATAACAAAATATCATGTGAATGTTGGAGACTTGGCAACATTGTGATGAATGCTGAGAACTGACAAGGCCACGCCCACAATTCGTGCGCCGTGGTTGTCACGTTTACCGATTCGAATGTCCTCTAGTGTTTTTCTTTTAGCGCTTGGAACATTTTGAGACAATTGAATCTTTATTGCTGAATAAGAATATTATCAATACTTGAGAATTTATGAATTATCGAATAACTAATATTTCTGAAGTTCCCAATCGTATTTCAACACATATGGCAACTGTGCTATGTTCTGCCCTTACTTACGAAATCGTTTGAAAATTACCGTGGCAATATTGATGATTTCAGCACCTAAAACTCGACCAAAATATTTTTAAAAAATACGAAGTTGAAAGGTATTTGAGTATGATTCTATTCACGAAATGAATCAAAGCTTTGCCGTTCTCTAGACGAACGTACCAGTTTTTGTAAAGTGTTGTTGACAGATTGACGACGAAAGGATGTGCTGACTGGGCCTTTCTAGTTCGTATTGCTAGTGATGGAATGCGAGGTCTCTAAGGAATATTTTCCGTGGAAGTATATATAGAGTAGTGAAAGGTCGCCGACTCAACTACGGTGATCTAATGAGTATTAGTGAGTGTGGCATGACCCACCAGACGGATGGATATTCTCTGGATGGAATCTAAGAGCATCAGCGTATGTTTCGGTGCTGAACCCCATATGTGAAATCAGTTTCCTATGCTCTGTAGATCATGAGAAGCTGCTGAGGTGTGAAATAGATTTTCACACGGAATAAAAATACATGTTTTTGCGAAGCAGCTCTCGCTATGGATAGGACATGATTCTTCCATGAAAAAGTAGCGCTGATAAAAATACCGAGCATTTATACATAGTGGTTTTGGTGACAATGGTGGTACCAGACATTGTTTTATCATCAGGCATACTGAGTTCCTCCTTCCTAGATAAAATACAGCATTGAGTTTTGGGGGCGTTGAATTCAACTAGGTTGTTGGTTCTTCAGCCTCAGTCGTAAGTTCTCAGTTTCCTGGGAAGAAATGGGAATTCTAGAAGAGAACGGTCATTATCGGTAGTTTTATCGTCTGCAAAGCTGTGGATAGGGCAAGTGGTTGCTAGGAATAATATGTTTGTGCCAAAATTGATCCTTGAGGAACGCCTGAATTTATGGCAATAGTATCAGACGATACTCCGTCCTCCTCCACTTCATGAATTGATCTGCCTGGACGAGAACTCTGAAAAAGATGGCCCAGCTGAGGAGGCAAGCCGTATATGATGATAGTTTGTGGAAGATTCCTTGGTACCAAACACGGTGGAATGCCATAGATAAATCCCAGTCCCTTCTAAATAATTTCTGAGGGCTCCTTCTTATCGTGGGCACATATATCTGGTATCCTGCAATGCTTCAAACCCCGCAACAATTCGATTTTGATCGGAATGTTGCCCGTGGAGAACGATCTCGGATCTTAAACGTAAGGCACGATGAACATGAACGATCGAGTGGGCGTTTTACGAATAGGTCTGCACGAAAAACACGTTCCATGAGTTTTCCGAGTGTCACCCTGTATAAAATCAAATCATTCAACGACATCTTTTTTTTTAGTCGATTCACCCACTTATCAGAACGAGTCAAGTTTCTCTCAGCTCTAATCCTGATGCTGACTTTAGATATTCCAATATTTTCACACAAATAGGCATCTATAAAGGAAGAGTCTTCGCGATCAAAAAGGTGCAGAAGAAGTCGATAGATATAACGAGGGAGATGAAGAAAGAACTCAAAATGGTGAGAATTACCATTATCTTTATGAACTATGGAATCCATCGAACTTTGTTGATTTTCAGATGAAAGATCTACGTCATGATAACCTCAATGCGTTCATTGGGGCTTGTACTGATCCACCGAATATTTGCATAGTGACAGAATATTGTACCAGAGGTAGTCTGAAGGTAAACACTAGATTTGCATTATGCAAATGGCCTAAACGCTAATTCTCTCTCATCGTTGCAGGATATTCTGGAAAATGAAGATGTCAAATTAGACAATATGTTCGTAGCATCACTTGTAGGAGATATTTTGAGGGTGAGTAGAGGCATTTTTTCAGGGTTTTTGAATGAATTTTGAGAGCTTTGCCTCTTCTTTTTTACATTGTGGAATATTCCTTATTTGTTTCACTGAAAGAATAGATATAGCTCCTCGTATAGCTCACTTTTCATATATGAGATCTCTCTAAATAGTCAAACAAAGGCAGAGTGTGTCTTCCGAATTCGATGTTTTCAATTGCAATTTGGAATTCCCTGGATTACCTTGAAATTCTTTGGCTTTCCTTGGAGTTCCTTGGATTTCCTTGGATTTTCTTGGAATTACATGGATTTCCTTGTAGTTCCCTGGAATTACTTGGGTGACGTACGATATATTCCTGGTCTACAAACAACTGGAATTCCTTGAAATTCCTTGGATTCCCTTAGAATTCCTTGGAATTCTTTGGATTTACTTGGATTACCTTGGAATTCTTCGGATTTCCTTGGAATTCTCTGGAAGACATGCGGTATGATTCTGGTGTACAAACAACTGGAATTCCTTGGAATTCCTTGGATTCCCTTGGATTTCCTTGGAATTCCTTGAAATTCCTCAAAATTCCTTGGAATTCCTTGGAATTCCTTGGATTTCCTTGGAATTTCCTGGAATTCCTTGGAGTTCCTTGGAATTCCTTGTGTGAAGTGCAGTGTAATTCTGGTTTACAAACATTTGGAATTCCTTAGAATTCCTAGAAGTTCCTTGGAATTCCTTGTGAAATTGAATTTTGACTGCGGTTTACCCCTCGGTTTTTCCCAAATATGATGCCAACATGATGCCAACTTCATGAAAGACACTGCATATATATAGATATTCGATATTTTCGTCCACAGGGTATGATATATTTGCACGAATCTCCAGTGCGATTTCACGGAGCTTTACACACTGCCAACTGTCTAGTGGACTCGAGATGGGTGGTCAAACTGGCAGATTTCGGGCTAAGGGAATTCAAGAAGGGAGCAGATGTGTCAACTCCCAAAGACCCTGCTCTAGTCGTGAACAGTTGTTATGGTAGGTAAGATGCTCTTTCTCATACAGGATGTCCCTTAAAGGTCTATACAAAATTGTAATACATGGTCCCAGTGCTGGGACCAACGAGGTAATGCAATTGCGAAAAAAAAAATGTATGTAGCAAAACAACGTTTGCCGGGTATCAGCTATTTTAATAAATAGTTTGAAAAACGAATGAAACACGTTTTTATAGATAGCCAAACTGAAATGAAGCAAGTAGAAAATAAAGAGATTAAAAAAATGAAGAGATATAAAGCGCCGAACTAAAAAGTAGAAAATAAATAGAATGGTTTGAAAAACTTGAGAATCCCGCGTCCATGGAAAGCCAAACTAAAACGGAGTAGAAATAAAATAATGAAAGATTATTGATAAATATTCAGCTAACAAATTTATTTCTAGAAATAATGTTTATGGCAGAACAACGTTTGCCGGGTCAGCTATAGTTAATTATGTATTAAGGTAAAGTTTTCTCCATGTCTCAATAATTTTCCACGTATCTTGAATCCTGTAGATCTCGAGGATGAGGACACGTGCTGTACGACAAATAATGATCCTTTATTAGGAACGACTGAGTCTCACATGTGTCCAAGAAGGGGCTTTGAAGTGTCAACAAGTAGCCAGCGTTCAGATGTTTGCATGGCAAATTTAACAACTTCTGTCGATATTCCAAGTTCGAACTTCCTTTCCCATTTCGATTGCGAGTATCTATTTGATTTGAAGTTTAATTGCATTGATGTTCTTTGACTAGCTATATATTCTTCAAAGAGATAGTAGAAGCGAAAATTACTGTTGCATTCTGAATTTGCTACAGCGAATCATGATCATTCTGCCAATTTCAGAAATGATGCTACCATTAAGAATAGTAAGGTGTCTGTATTTTCTCCACAAAAAGAAAAAAAAACGAAAATTGTCTTTTTAAATTTGTAAAATAACGAATCAACGAACTTTTGCTGTGTTGGATGATTTCTTAATTGAAATATTCTCACGTAGAAATTAAATTCTGCTGCTCCACTCTGACGATACTCACTCAGAAGCATGTAAACAAGTTTATTATTTCCGTAAACGTGCTACTTTGTTTGACGATGCACAGAAAAAACAATTGAAAAAGAGAATCCGGGACAGGGTATTAGTTGTAGTGCTGCCTACCAGACAAGACGAGACTGAACAATCTCGTCTTGTCTCGCAAAAAAATTGGAAAGACTCGTCTCGAATATCGTCCCGCAATAGAAAATCTCGTCTCATGTCTCCGACGAGAGTCTCGCAGAGATCTCGAAAAATTTTCGCAAATTTCTTAGATTTTTTTTATCTCCTGGTTCCGACGAGAAGGGATATATCCTGTGATGTTCAGAGAACATCGTGAGAACCAAGGGAAATAAGGTAGGAATTCAAATGAAATTCACAAATAAAATCAGTTGAAATTTCGATTTGAATGAACAAAAACATAGTAATCTAACAAGGTAACTAGACACTACACACTGTTCCACCACTAACCAAACCTATTTTTTGAACTGAACAGTTTTAATCTTCTCCTGAAGATGCTAACAAAGTTAGCGAAACATGTGTCGAGGTGTAGTGTTAAAACAATGTGTAGTGTATTATCGTGCCAAAGGTTCCAGTCTGATGTGAATGGATATCAGATACTCCAGGGACACGAATAGAATAACCTAGGGATGTACCGGGCGGGATGTCCACTGGATGACCACTGCAGGATATCCCCTGGATGTCCCAATCATGTCCTTGTACCGCGGGACAAAAAAGGGACGTACCTAGGACATCCCTGTATTGTTAGGGTAGGGACGGCTCCGTTTAAGCCTAACGCAATATTCATAGAAATAATCGAAAAGTATCCGAAAACAGAATTCGAATACCGGGATTCGAATACAAAGTGGGCATTTGCATACTGGAATTCAAAAACGGTATTCAGAATCCAGAATACCGAGTACTGATCAAAAAAGTATTCAGTCGAATACCGAATACCAAATACACAAATGTATTCGAATAGTATTATTCGAACACCAGCCAAATGTATTCTGAATGGGATTCATTTTTTTTTTTTTTTGGAAGCGAGCGACGAGCACGAACGGTCACGTCAAATGAGCTCTGTTAAAAAGTTGCTATTTAGTGAGTTATATCTGTCCTAAAAAATTGTTTCATGTCTTCAATGAATTGCTGAAATATATGTGAGTACATTTATTTCATTTACATAATAGTGATTCTGTCTTGTGACGTTGAATCATAAAGAAACAGAGGAATTCAATCGTGTATCTGAATCGATATATCAAACCTATATATTCATAAAAAATCAAACAAAAAGTACCAAAGAAACGGGTCTCATAGATAAACTTCAGTGCTGGAAATACTAAAGAGATAAAAGATGATACAGGGTGGCGCAACACAACCATGGATGTGAATATTCAAAACTTTCTCAAAAATTTGATTGAAGAATCAAACAACAAGCAGACTAAGGAAATACGTGAGAGCCTAAAAGCTGAAGTTGATTACCTCAAACAAATTATTTCTGCAGAAGTGGAAAAAAGGGTAGCTATCGAAGAAAAATACCAGGAGTTGGCCGTAAAATATGAGCAGCTAGAAAAATCTCAGAGAAAAAATAATATCGTCATATTTGGCCTCGATTTTTCCGAGGATAAAAATACTGTTGACACAAGTTTCGATAAAAAAAGGAAATTACTCAATTTCACTATTGAGAAATTGAATCAATCATTAGGAATAAACCTCTCAGCTTCTGATATAAATGATATCTTCACAATTGGAAAACAAGATAAAGATCGTCCAATTATCTTGAAATTCTGCTCATTCTATAAGAAACAGGAAGTATTGAGTAATTGCAAGAAACTCAAGGGTACCAATATTCGTATTTCTATAGAACTGAATTATCAAGAAAGGCTGAAGAATAGAGAATGGACCAATCTACTGATTAAGGCGAGGACTAAGTACACAAAAGTATATATTAGAAGAGGAAAATTTTTTGTGGATGAAGAAGAATATTCGTTTGAGGACCTCAAACAACTTTTGGGAGTGGAATCAGAAGAACATGTTGAGGCCACAGGGAGTAAAGTAAATACAAGAGGGACTGAAAATGGTGATTTAGAGGAAATAGAACTCGAACAAGATGAAACCAACTTGGAGAAGACTATAGTTGGAGTAGATGAGTATCATAAATCGGACGATTCTTTTGAAACGATTGAGGATAGTACGGAAGACAACAAGAAAAGAAAGACTTCAACGAAAAAAAAAAGTTCATCAAGGATTGCAAGCAAAAAACCAAAAAACATTCACAATTGAGAATAAGAGCTACCTGGCTCGGCAACTCTCAATATTACTTTACCTCATTTCACTTGACTTTTAGTTTTTAGTATGTGTGATAGTACAGTCAGTTTATAGCTACTCGATTTTGCATCACCTAAAAAATATTATTTGTCACATCTTGTTACACTTATAATATAAAATAATCATGGTCTGAACATATTATTATATTTTAATAATTTCACTTGTGTCACCATGTATAATGTAAAAATTGCTTATATCAATGTTCGTTCGATATTCACAGGATTTGCAGAATTCAAACAATTAGTATTTGAAAACAATTTTGACATAATCTATGTTACCGAAACATGGTTAGCACCAGGTATTCAAACAAATATGATTGCTTTGCAGGGGTACAATTTTCTGAGATATGACAGGATCAGCCGTGGTGGTGGTGTAGGAATTTATTTACGTGAATCGATTAATTATGTCACCTTGAACTTAGATATTGATTTAGGAGTCATCTCAGAACAATTATGGTTGAAACTACGCTTACTAAACAGAAATGTAGCTCTAGGAGTAGTGTATAGACCACCTAACTCTAACGTGCAGGGTTTTGTTGATCAAATGGATTCAATTTTATCGTCTATATATCCCACTGTGGAGGAAGTAATATGCGCTGGTGACATGAATATAAATCTGTTTAATGTTAATAATCCACTTTCTCGGTGTTTCGATGCTTATGGTTTCTTTCAAATGATAACTGAAGCAACTAGAATCACGCAAACCTCGTGTACATTATTAGATCCAATTTTCGTCAGCAAGAAAAATCTAGTTGTTGATAAGGGTGTGCTTGATGCTAGCTTGATTTCCGATCATCAGTTAGTATATTGTGAACTGAAAATTCATATTCAAACGGTTGAACCAAAATTAGTAACTTTCCGAGACTACAAAAAATTCGATTTTCAATTATTTCAGTCGGACTTGCAACAAGTACCATGGGATGATATAGTATTGGAGACAATCATAGATAGGAAAGTCGAAATTTTTACCCGGTACCTTCTATCGTTATTTGATAGGCATGCCCCTGTACGCAGGGTTAGAGTAACCAAGCCTAAGATGCCTTGGTATACTGACAACATACGAACTTTAGTAAAAGAAAGAGATTCTGCTTTAAAGAAATACAAAAAGTCACACAGAACAGAAGATTGGGAAAATTATAAGCGCTTACGAAATTACGTTGTTGTCTCGATCAGAAATGAGAAAAAGGCTTATATCAATTTCATATCAAATAATTCAGATGCCCGTAGTACTTGGAATGCATTGAGTAATCTTAGTGTGAAAAACAAAAAATCTTATAATATACCCGATAGCTTGTGTAATGTGAATGAAATTAATTCTTACTTCTCATCGAATAATTCTCCCAATGATTCAGACTGCCAACAAACAGCAACATACTATGATACACACAAAAATGATCAAAGCACAGAATTCTCATTTGTTCTGACATCTGTACAAGAAGTAAGGGAAATAATTATAGATCTGAAGTCAAAAGCATATGGGTTAGATAATGTAAATAGTGTTATGCTTAAATATTGTACCCCTTTCCTCGACAAATATATTGTACATATTATTAATAGTTGCATCTTGAGCAATTATTTTCCAACTAATTGGAAAGAAGCGGTAGTTAATCCGCTTCCGAAAGTAGCAAGTCCCAGTACCATTTCAGATCTCCG